TACGCAGAATATGGTAACGGTCACCCTCGCGAACATTACGTTGAATTCGTTCAAGGTGCCGAACAAGTGATGGTTTGGACAGGTTTAACAAGAGCTGGTACTGTTCTTGGCCCACATTTTGTGGAAAGGAGTCTAGACAGCAGAGAGTATTTACGGATTATTCGCTATCATGTAATTCAGAGAGACTTTCGTGAACACAATATTGACCGTCGTGTAATGTGGTGGCAGCAAGACGGTGCCCCTTGCCACACCAGCAATGCGACGATGCGAAATCTTCGCGGACAGTTTCCAGGCAAGGTTATGGGAAAACGCGGCGATTGGCCCTGGCCTCCTCGATCTCCTGATCTGGCGATTTGCGACTTTTTTCTTTGGGGATATTTGAAGCAACAAATCTGGAACGTCCCGCATGAGCAGCAGCCTAGGAATTTGAGACAGCTTCGCCAGGCAGTTATCTTAGCGTGCCAAAGTTTAGATGCACAAATGGTACAAAACGCTTTTTCTGGCATGGTTAATAGAGCACGACGTTGTATAGGTGTTCAAGGACATGCTTTTTCAGATGAATAAACCATCGAATGTGTTAATATTATTTATCATGTGTTGTGTTGACAAGAACAGCAATTTAATTAAATGCTAATTTGATCGGCTGATTTAATGTAATTTTAAGCATTTTCAAAATTGCTCCTTCGAAATGAAACTGTATTATTTCATTCAGTATTGCTCAAATATATTCAAGTCATATATCAAAATTTTATTTAGGCCTTTCTGAATTCAGTGAAGTCTATTCGATTGAAACTCCTTATTCAGTTTTAAAGGTATAACAAATCAAACACCGATACTTTTTTATGAGACACCCGGTATATATATATATATATATATATATATATATATATATATATATATATACATATATATATATATATATATATATATATATATATATATATAATATAAAATATATATATATATATATATATATATATATATATATATATATTGTAATATTTATATATATATATATATATATATATATATATATATATATTAATAACTAATTATAATACTAAAATAGAGATGATTGACATTATGTTGACAGGACTAATTTTAAAAGGATGCAGATAGAATAAGAGAGTATTGTAGAAGGTTAAGAAGTACAGATTAAGAATAGAAGATTGATACAGAAAGAATATTACAAAAGTAATCCTTAATTATATATTATATCAGTAATATTATCTTAATTGATCCGAGAATGACACATATTCATATATATGTAATTATACTACCGTGGACCATCGAAGGTCGACCCCAACGTCGACCATACTTGACATAAAATTTGGACAACTTTGGATTCCGCTATGTTCTATCAAAATACTCGAGTATATCCCAGCGGAATTAGTACCCTCGCACGGTGCTCCGCACCGGCTTGGGGATGAAATCAACGATTGAATTGATGCATGGGGTTGGATTCTGTTGATGATTTAGTGTGTTATTACTCGCAAAAAATTAATTCTTTTTGATGCTTTTTTCCACGTGAAGCATTGGGCTTTTTGGCCTAGAAACATACTAGTATAATTATATATATTCACTCTAAATTAAACCACAAACGTGAACGTGTCTTTATTGCTGTTCATGCATTTATATGAGATTTCTAATGAGGGAATTGAAAAAAATACGGAAAAAATTTAATGCATTATGATTAGGGCCATTTAGACCCTGTTTACACTAGAACGAAAGTTTCCGGATTTGTAAAATTTTCCGGATTCATTGTTACACACATGTATCGGATTCGTCAGGTGTTTACACTACACTTTAGTTGTCTCTGCATGAGAATTTGTCCGTTTACACTCACATTACTTGTTCTTGGAGAATTATTTGGTCGTCATATTGAATTTCTTCGGATTCATCGTGGAAAGCGTTTACACAAGAAAATTTTCGGGATTCAAATGTTTCTGGATACGAAGTTTCCACATACTTTTACGGATTCAAAGTTTCCGGATACGGCTTAAAACCGAGTACATTTGCTATAGGATTCATTGCTGCGTGTGTAAACAGCAACATGAATCCGGTACTAAAACATTCCGGGGTCTTATAGTCTTATTGAGAACTAGTATAGCTTACACCGGTTAAAAATAGCTTGTTTTAGAGACATTAGCTATAGGTTTTTCTAGTGGTTTTTTTCAAGGATTTACATGAAAATTTTAGACTGAAACTAATAAATTTAATTGGATTTACGGGCGTTGACAGGGTTCACATATACATCCTGGAAAAGCATATACCACCCACCACCCGCCTCTCAGGTTAACGCCTACAGCGTAAGCGTTCACTACCCCCCGAAAAAAAATCTCTCCGCGGACCCTATTCTACTTGCAACAAACTGAATAAATTTTATTTGGGTTGTGTTTGTGTGCGAGGGGAGGGAGCTTTAATGTCATCGGTGTAGCGGGTTCAACAAACAGAATTGAATGAGAATACCTTCCTACAGAAATGTCAAATATACGCGATCATTGACTAGCCTTTTCACTCGTGTGTTCTCTATATTTTCAGAATCTCCAAGCTTCTGTTAGTAAATGTTTTTAACGCACAGAGCACTTTTACTCCTGTCTGTGGAGTAGTTTTTACACGAGATAACAATACTCCGTCCGGAAGAGCTACTCTCACCCCTGCATAAAGGAGTATTTTTCTCCCTGAAATTTACAGCTGAACATTAACAGAATTGGGTACGGGTACCAATTTTAACCGTGCCGTGTTACGTCAAGAATATAAGCCTCCCGCCAAGTAAAATACAACGTAACTCAGCTATCCGGATAGCTCAATTTTCGCCTCAACATATTCAAAACATTAACATGTACAGAGTAATGATATATTAAACCGAAATTCTCATTCCCATCACATTCGCGCCAGAAAGCTCAGAAAGTGATAAAGCTAACTTGATAAAATTTTTAACGGATGACTATAAAGAAATAGCTATATTTGGCTTGGAGGTAAATCTAAGAGTGTTGTATTCCGTTCAGTCTAAGCAAAAAAGCGACTGTTTATTTTAGATTGTCGTAGAAGTTTTATAATAATTTATATGGTCAGCAAAACTTTTAATACTGGAGAAAATTCTAATTGTTATGGGTTCAGCTCCAAGGCAAAAATAAAATACAACTAAATAAATTCAGTGAATAAATACAACTAAATAAATTCATGCAATAAGTTCTTTGAAAGTTTTCATGGATATTTAATTTTGGATATATAACCACGGGAGTGAATTTAGTTTTGCAGAACTTTCCGTAAGCCCTGACCATCATCAGTGCAAATCAACTTTTCGCGATCACACAAATCTTTTATATTTAAAGTGTCGTGATCTACTGTTCGGCGTTCGCATAAGAATAACACACGTTTACACATTTACATGTAGAGAGTGACGCTACGTGCTATCTATCATCGTACAAGAGAGTACAAGAGATAAGCCCTAAGATAGCACATGGCGTGCACTCTTCGCCATGTGTTAATAAATTGCTATTCTTGCTAGTCGCGTTCAAACATTTGACCGTTTAACTAAAGATTGAACTACAAATACATGCATGCAGTAACCCCTCGCAATAATTTAATCCGAACAACTAATTTCCTGATCATGAGCTAGCCAAATCTAAGATTATAATTATGACATGACCGAGTTAGTCGATACGTAATTTACTGTTATTCGGAATCAAATATATGTAAAAAATATGTAAAAAATCCAACCTTCAAAACGTCAAAACGTGTATACAAAATCTTCAAGGACAAAACGTCAAATGTTATATTCTTCGAATATTTTATGCTGATAATTTTTGCAGTTTACTTTAAAAGCTCTGAAGTGAAAGCTCTGAAACTTTAATTAAAAAACCTTTTCAAGCAATGGTGCATGCGATAGCTTTTCGTGGTCGGTTATATATTTGCCAAACAACATATCAAGCTAATATACAGCCTACAAATAAACTGCATCCTTTAATACAACAAATACGAAATAAACAAAATAGACACCTACCCGTCTAAAAGCCTTTGTGTAGCTAATATAGATTATCATTATATCGTCCTTATTATTTTTATTTTTTTTCATCTGCATGTATCTCATCTTTTCATCTGTATCCGCGTTGTTTAAGAAGTATCGACGAGTTTGCTCATAAATAAAGAAATGTGTTCATGTACTTTATGAATAAATACAAATTTTCTCCTTATCGAATCAGAACGTTGCTGATTACCAGTCTTAATTTACTCGCTTAAATTTGGCGCACGTGCATAACTAACAAATCTCCCAGCGTGATTGAGAAAAGTTGATTTGCACTGATGACGGACTGCATGGGCTTTTTATATAGTCTTTTTTAAAACTAGTGTAGCTTATACAGCTTAAAAATAGCTTGTTTTAGAGACATTAGCTAGGTGTTTCTAGTGTATTTTAAAGAATTTATATGAAATTTTTCGACTGCAATCAGTAAATTTAATTGGATTTCTGGGCTTTGACAGGTTTCACATTTTAAAATATCTCGGCTGGAAAAGCATACCATGCACCAACCACCTGTCTCGCAGTTTTACGCCTACAACGTTCATTACCCCCGAATAAAAAACTGCTCCGTGGACCCTGTTCTACGGGCAACAAACCAAGTAACATTTTATTTGGGTTGTGTTTGTGTGGAGAGGGGGGAGCATATTCTGTGAGTAAATTTGATATACGAAAACTGAAACAACGAACCCGCTAATCCTTGTTTTCCTCACACGCACACCAAAATAAATTAATTGAATTAACTAAATTAGTATTAAGCTTTTCATTCAGCTTACTCTCTTTTTTTATTTAAAAAAAAGCCAAAAAAAGTAAAATAAAAACATGAATTTCGCTTACGGCGCATATAGAGGACTGAAAATGACGCACCATAGCCTCTTTGATTTCCGCCACAAAGATGCTTTGGCGTCATGTTTTGGACGCACGGAAGTTTTATCTTCTTACTGGTGACTTCGAGGTCTTCCAAAATTTGAGTAGACCGTATATCAAGATTTTTGTGCTTGAAGTTATGACACGTGCAGCTCTCCTTTGTAATTTTAACAATTTAATAAAACCCCGTTCACACCACACTTAATTTATTGCCACGGCATGCACTGCTATATAAAATGGGTACACGTACCGATTGCAAACGTGCTCGGCTTTTTTTGGTAATACTATAATAAAGTTGGGTACGTGGGTACCAAATTTAGCCATGCATGACATGCGAATAAATCGAGTGTATATACAATTATGGTACAAGATCAGTCATTCCAGATCGTAGAGCAGTAATTAAAGTGCATCTACATATTCAATAAAGCATATCTAGGGACAAACTATCTATCTCTTTATAAAAAGAGCAATATTTTTAGAATTATGTTCAAATAGTACGTATAGTGATTTATGAAATTTTAAGGCTGATTATCTTAGCTTGTAGTTCATTAAGATTTTCCTCGTCCGTGTCGGTTTGTTTGATTCTTTTTAAGATATCTTCAGCTGCTTCAAGATGATGCAATGCCTTGGACTTGTTCGCATATTCTTCCTCGATGAAGGTCTCAGCTATTTCCATGTGGACACCAAGACGCATTCTGTCACTCGTTGGTCTTTTGACACACATCTCACCGGCTTTCTCAAATGCCTTAAGTGCACTGCTAGGATTCTTCATACCTTTGTAGCAAAGGGCAATATTAAGAAAACATTCCGTCTCATCATCGGCTGACTGGAAAACTTCAAACATTTCCAACGCTTTCTGGAAGTGCGACAGCGCTCTCTCGTATTCCTGATGTTCGAGTAATGCTGTAGCAAGCAAGCGAAAAGCCGTGGCCACATCTGGCGTTGCTCTTTCTTGATAAATTGCTCTTTTTAATTCAAGTGCTCTATCCAGCTTTGGTATCGCTTCCTTCCATTCCTTTAGCAGCACACAAGCATATCCTACACAGCGATATTATAATTTTAATAAGGTTATCAAACATACATAAGTTCGGTCTTTCATATATCAATATATCCACTCTCTGATCTCACAATATCCGAAACTTTGCAATTCAATTTTTGCGCCAGCTGTTTACAGCGGAGGCGCATAGCTATCGTCCTCGAATATTTTGAGCGCTCGTTTGTCTACAAATAATTTTACAAAATGTGCCGATCGAGGGACGAATATGCGCCGAGGAATGAATATAAGCCAGAATACAAAATAATCTATAATAAACGAGTCAACAATGTGACAATAGTAAACAATGATCTACATTTACTGTTCGTGTTGGAAGCAATATCAAGCTCAAGTCACTGACGCATTTTATGAAAAATACTTCAGTTGCGCAACAAAACAATAGATGGGAATAACAATTGAGCAACATAACCGAAGTTGGAGACAGAGAGAGGTGACTAGACGTCTATATATAGTTTACAATACAGGGAGTTTAAGTTACGCAAACGCGTAAATTCAGCTGAGAAGCTATAATATGCTGGTGATGTTTTTTTATGTCTAATGATGAACGATATTATACAGCTAGAGAGTGGCCTAAACAAAGTATTTAACCATCTGAGTTAAATTATCATGTTGCTTTGCTTACTATTGGTTGCAATACAGTTGCAATTTTGAATACTTGTGATTGGTCATTCAAAATTTTTTTATTCACATGCTAGAAACTTGTTCTCTGTGATTTCCCCTACTATTGATAACAAGTATTCTGTCTCTGGCATGAAAAGTGTCAGCTGCAAACACGAAACAGCACCGGGGAAAAACACACAGTGATGGAAACAATACGCAATTTTCACATCCATGAGCTACAATGAAGCAATTGTTTGTCATGGTAATTAATACACTGAGCTAGTTTATGCTAAAAAAGTGGCGTATGTTCGCATCGCGGACCTGTGTTTTGCTTTATTTCACCTTTGAATGAAGCTTTGGTTCTTCCTAAAAAAGTGTTGTTTTCAGTTTTTGCATGCGAAAAAAGGAGCGGCGAATATTTTGATTTGCGAACGAATTAGATTTTAAAGCTAAGGAGGAAAAAAAATTAAAGGCTCTTCAATTTAACTGACGGTCTTCAATTTTCAACTTAAAAAACATCCAAAGTAAAAGCACGACCAAATGAAATCTAGTATTGGGTTTTCTCTATTTAAAATCCTAAAAATTCGATGCAATAGATAATTGTGTTTCTTACCTATATTGCTTATGACTACCGCGTAATCCATGTTCAACTGTCCTTCCGTCATACGCTTTAAAACTTTCTCTGCTTCTTCGTAGACATCTTTTGCTTGTTGGGCTTCACCTGGTCGCACGATGTGGCAGTTGCCTTTTAAAATTAAAGCTGCGCAGTAATTTTGCAAGGAACCACGGGCGCCTTTCTTCAGAAGTTTCTTTCTCAACGGTAACAGCGTATCCAAAGTTTCCGAAGCATCCTTGGGACTTTGCTTGGTGTACTGGACGATAGAAATGTGGTACAGCACGGTGGCGATGTCTTCCCTAACTGGATCTTCAGCATGCAACATTTCCCTGATTTCCAAGGATTTTTTGTAATGCACTAAGGCGTCGTCCAGTCGTCCTAATTTTTTCAGAGTATCCGCCACATTTTGATGAAATGTTGCTGTGTCCATGTTCGACGGTATCCCTTCAGTAGTACTTAGACAGCACAGATAGTGTTCAAGGGCGCGCTTTAAATTGTTTGTTTTCTCATAAACTAGTCCAATAGCGTTCATGATTTTTCCGTAGTAAATTTCATTCGATTTTGTCAGGACAGTATTGCGAGTTGTCGTCGCTCGGAACTGTTCGGCTATTTTCAACGCTTTCTCCAGATCTTTCAGAGCAAGACTGAAACGAAGGCACCTACTCTTCACTTCTCCACGCACGAAAAAGGAAGCCGATGCTATATTGGCATTAATGGAAGTCGGGTCATTCTCGTAAATATTGATAAGTTTGTCGAGCAGTTCACAGGCTTGTGGATATCTTTCGGTGTCTGCAAAAACGGATGCGATATGCCACAAAGTTATGTGGCGCGCCTCTTTCACAAATGACCGTTGCGAAGTCGTCTTCTGTACTAACGAGAAAATACGTTGAAACATTGATTCTGCATCACTAAACATTTCATCCCTTTGATACATTTCACCCAATCGTTGTTGTGTCATCCACAGTAAAAGCATTAAATAATCTTTTTCCGAATCAGTTGGATCGACTTGTTCCTCCAGACGCCTCACCAGATCAATGTACATCTCTTTTGCAGTATTTCGTCGTCCAGTTACTTCATAAAAATCTGCAAGATAGAATACTTGAAAGAGCTGTTGAGAGTTATGAGGACAGGATTCAGACAGCATCCTGTCAATCAGGTGTCGCTGCTGTTTGGCCAGTTCAACACCATCCTGGATTCGGTTTTCCTGAAGAAAAATCTTCAGCAGAGAAGAATTGACCTGAAGTAATGCAACATGACTATTATTCCATGAGATCTTTTCTAAAACGTTTTTTGCATTTTCCAAGTGTTTTTCAGCTTTATTCGGGGAATGTTCTCCTAAGAGGTTTCCTATTGTTAACTGCACATTACCATAGACTTTATTAGTATCCAAATTAATTTCCTCGAAAACTTTCAGGGATTTGATGAGGTATTCCAACCCTTTCGATTTACGGTCTGCCGTTACCAAACAATACCCGAGTGTTCCATAACATATAGCTAAATGTCCATGACTAGCTTCTTTGCCGTGGACTTTTTCTTCTATGTCCAGCGCCTTTTCAATATATGATAGACGACGCAAAGCATCATGGGAACACGAGGCTCCAAGGTTTGCAATACGAATTAGAACATTTGCCGTGTCGCAATCGTGCCCACTTTGTTGACTTTCTATTCTTTGATTTTCGTGAATTTTCAAGTACTCTTCGTAATGAATCATTGCCTCCGAGTACATTCCTCGCTCTTCTTCACATATTGCAAGGTAAAAATGTATGGAGGCGACATTTTGATGTGGGTGGCCTCGGTACAAAATCTCAGCAATTTCTTTCGCCCTGCTCAAGGAATCGAACATTTCGTTCCATTGCTTGTAAAACTGGTATATTTTTGCTTTGGTAATCAGTGCGTCAACTATACCTGGCTCGATTAATTGGTTTTCATGAACTTGAGAATAAATAATCAGCGCCAACTTAATTGAATCGTCTGCTTTCTCTATATCCCGAAGTTGGTAATGAACCTCGCTCAAGTTGGTCAAACAGCGAGCGAAGTAGGGGTGAATAGCATTTTTTCCATAAAGTTCACGGGCAACCTCTAAAGCATTGTTCAATACAGTTTTTGCTTCGGTCAATCTGTCCAAATTAAGCAAAATAACAGCGAGGTTGTTTGAGCACATGAAATAGTCAAAAAAGTGCTTTCGTTGATTCTTTAACTTGTCAATGATATTTCTAAGTATTCCTTCAGCTTTATTGTACTGCTGCATTTTCATGAAAAGAACAGCGCTGCTGTTAAGAAGATCGAACTCTTTTGAGAGATTCTCTTTACAATCCTGACTATCTTGTAATTGCTGTACTTGTTCGTGTATTTTCATAGCTTCTTGGTAAAGACCTTGATCAACATAAGAATCCATCATGAAGTGCAACGCTGTTAATACATAACTTATTCCAACAGCATCTGGCGTTGCAGTATACAAAGCTTGTATTTCTCGGCATTGCTCGTAGGATTCTTGAAACATTCCAACCATACGGTAACAGTACGCTAGCACGAGGGATATTTCTACGTTTCTGGCACTATCCACATCGACCTCTTTCTCCGAAAGTAAACAAACGAACGCTTTAGGCAGCTGTAGAATGCGTAGGTACGCTACGGCAGAGATCGTTGGAGAAACATGGATAAAATTGACCTGTTGAAGCACTGCAACGACCAATTGATATGGGCTAAGACAATTCTGATGTTTCTTTACCTCCGTTAGTATTTGAGAGACGACAGATTTCAACGGTATGAGGCTTTGATAAAGACGAATGATAGCTGTCGTAAATGGCCGTGGAGGGCTTTCCTCAGCAGAGAATGATACCTGTGGAACAGTAGGTAGTGCTTCCTTCTGTCTCCCTTGCTTCTGGTAACACTCTAACCGAAGTTCGGTTGTAATGCTCAAGGCTGAAAGTAGATTTTTTGCGCCTTCTTCCGTTAATATATTTTTCTCTCTCAATTCTTCAATGCATTTCCACGAACTTTGTCCAAAAATTCCAAAGAATTTGGATAGCTGTTCAACAAGAAGACTTGTCAACCTGTACACTTCTTTTTTCACATCTTGTTGTCGCCCAAGGTCTTTTATAGTCAAACCTTCGACGCAGTAAGTATCCATCAAGTTTTCTATCACCCCTAAGATTTGTTCTTGAAAAATTTTCATTCTATCAGTTTGCGTGAGGAGTGCTGACAAATTCTCTCGGTAGGTTTCTGTCAATTTTTCATCTCCATAAAGATGACAGGCGCTGCTGAAAACATTTGCTGTTTTTTTATTCTCGATAAAAGCGGCGGGTTCGACGTCTTGGAGCTTCAGCATTTCATCAACGGTCAAAATGTACTCTTGTCGAGGTTGTCCACGCCATTCTTTTCTTCCAAGAGGAGTCTTGCACGCCCACGGCATCATTCCGTCGAATGAAAATCCTTTGGGAATCACATCGTCGTAGAACCAATCATCTTCTATATTCTTGCCATAGAAATCATTCAAACTAGAGATGCCAATGCTCGGCAAAACGGTTTCCCCTAATTTGCACATTTCAACTTGAATAAAGTATGTCAAGAATCGGAAGTACTGGCGTTGTTCCTCTGTCGGAATTTCGTTGTTGTTATCATCAACCAGAATTGCAAATTCTAAATCAGAGTAGGGAGTAATTTCTTGTCTGGAAATAGATCCAAGACCAATGATAGAGAAGTTGCAAGGCGGGGAACCGGCAATCTCACAACAATAAGAAAACATGTGATCTAGGAAGCGCTTTATGTCATCAAAAATTTCTTTATAGATCCTCTCAATTTCGTGGCAACGTTTTTCTTCGTCTTCTGAGCCCCAATGTGGAAATTTTTCAAGCGAAGGCAAATGCTCTTTAGACACTCTTAAACGGATTTCACTTAACTTTTCTTGATTAATTATCCGTTTATCGCTCTTTTCTTTGAAGCGTTCAACACCACTCAACCCGAAAATTTTCTCAACAAGTTTCACTTCCACATCAAAAATGGCCGCATTGATTTTTTCGTCTTCTTCGTAACGGCCGTACTTGTAAATTCGCTCGGCCTCGAAAAGAGCGACACTTTTCACCATCATTTCACAAAAACTGCTATCATCATCCACTTGTTGAGAGGCTCTGGTAAAATATATCTCTGCCATAGTGTGAAAACATTTCGCCTTCTCTTTGTTGAAGTGAGAAGCATTTGGCAAGGCTGATAAAATCTTTAAAGCTTGACTGAGCGATTGTTCCGCCTGATGCAGACTGTCTTCTCTTTGTTGCTTCAAACCTTCTTGAAAATGATCTACAAATATAAAAGTAGTTACAAATATACGATGATAATGTGTTGATCAACATGCATAGTCGGCGCACAAAATGGCTTTAACAAGTTAGCGAACTGTCAGGGCCTAAATGTTCCCCATGCGTAGGATGTAATCACGTCTGTTTAATTTGAGAACATGCAGTTTCATGTGTGCTAGTTTTAGGGTTCAACCAAAACTCTACCGAAAAAGACTAATGAGTGACGTTGCTGAGATTTTAATCTGATCTTAACAAGTGCTTGATTAAGGTTTATAAAGATTTAAAGATTTATTCCCGAGCCGGTGCGGAGCGTCCTGCGAGTAAAAATTCCACCCAGAAATTAGGAATTACACGTGGGTATTGTGACATAACGGAACCCAACGTTGTACAAATTCTATGCCATGTACGTTGGATGGTTTAGCTAGGGATGATTTAGATGGTATATAGTTGGATGGCTTAGGTGCTTAAGTTATGCTCATTAGCGAAATTTAAATGAGTGGAAACCGGTAATCAGCAACCTACTGATTGCCACAGAGTAAAAATAGATACAGAGATGGAACTAGGTGGCAAATAGTAATCAAACATGTTTTTTGTACACGCTTTTATAGTGCGCGTAAGCGTAAGGTGACCAAGTGCCTGAAATGTTCAAAATGAGTTGGAATTGGATTTTCGACTAATTGAAGCGTGGTCATTATTGTCTTTTTATATAGCATTTTACGCACCTTAAGATAAATTGCAGAATTATTTATACTTTAAATCTCAGGCACTTGCCGAGCATGCGCACTAAAAAGTGGGTACACTAGTTCCAGGTCTATATCCATTACTTACGCTGTGGTTTGCCTGTATCGGAAATTTGTATTTCAATAATAACGTCAGCGCTAGCAATTTAACTGCAAATTCATAAACGTTTTCCAGTTTTGTCTCCCAAGAGTTGTGCTGAACAGCTTTGACTGATTTTCTGATGCGCGATTCGATTTCGCTCGCATGATACGGCAATTCTTCCAAGAGGAACAAATAAAGCGTTCTTTTGATGCTGTTCGATCAAGTTTAGATTTAATTGGGGTCCGAGTATATTATTACATGTAGATTCTGGTCCTATTTTAATAATATCGCTGCTATTTCACCGTTTAACAAGATGTAGTCGTGTATATGGGCGCGTTGATACGTCGCAGTTTGCGCAGGATTGAAGATTTAATATAACTATATAAGCGTGGCGCCGGAGTTAACGCCAGAACAGGCGTCTTATAGTCGTTTTTATATGAGTTTTTTAATACGTCGTTTCCCAAAGTCATACTTGGCTATGAAAGCCTTTTACACCATCGCTTTAACTTGAAAAAGGGGGTTTAAAAGCGTAAATTTATATCTTCATGTAAACTGTCGCTTCAAAATTAAAGCTTTTACACGCAGTCAACGGCATATATATATATATATATATATATATATATATATATATATATATATATATATATATATATATATATATATATATATATATATATATATATTCTGTTTTGATGTTCTGTTTTCATGTTTTTGAGAAGCCTCAATATTGCCGGATATATTAACAGTTACCTAAGCTGGTAGGGTCTATAAAACGCTTGCAGAAAACGGGTGACATTACCTTCAATGTTATGACTATATTTTGTACCAAATCATAAAAGTATTGGCTATGGACGACGCATAGCCATGATTGAGTCATTCCATAATATGAACTTATGGTTATAGTTAATCTAAACATGTAGGAAATCATTTTCTTTGTTGGAAATTGCCAATATCTCGTTATCAAGCTCTTTCTTAGCCACACAACAAGTAGGAATTTCGTTTTGCCTAAATGGTAAATAATGTACCTTTTTACAGAAAGTAGTCGAAATTAATGTATTCTGATTGGGTTACTGAAATGTAAATTAACAAACTTGCTGATTGGAACGAAATTCCCTCTTGTTACCCGTATAGAAACAACTCTCATAAAAATGATTTCTTTCTACGAATAAAATCATAAATATGAGAGTTTATTGGTTTAATAAAAATGACCGTTTGTGGCTATTGTCACAAATTGTATCAAAACTTTAAGAAGGTTAAATATCTCATGATCATTGCACTAGAGACGATTTTTAAATTATAAATATTTAACGTGCAAATAAGATGCTGGAAAATTTGATTTAACTTTGAATTAAGCCTTCGCTGTGTTAAGCTACTTAAATCAGCTTCAAAATAACTCCCCTTCCGTAATTTTACTTTAAGTAAACCGGAAGCTAATAATAAAAAACTTATCTTGCAATATTGCTCGTACAACTATATGATCAGTATTGATGGTACTCGCGATGTTTGATAATTTTCCAAAATTTCATCGGCTCGTGCAATTTCGGCAAAATCTTCAAACCTCATTCGTACTATTTATCCCAAAAGCACTCTCGTCGTATTATGATTACCTAATCGCTGATAAAGTCGGGAACCGCGCATGAGAAAAAACCCAGTCTCAAGAGCAGTCTCAAGTAGAGTGTCAAAGAGTAGAAAAATGTGTTTTCATGTTTCAGTTTACCTAGAGTTCACTGGGTTTTACACATCGGGGTTACCACAGCCCCCAACGTTGATAAAATGTCTTTCTGACTGCAAGATTGTCCCATGCACAATTGCCACAACAAGGTCGCATAATGACATAGTCCCTTCCAGTGACCCTAGTTTCTTCATCAAGCATGTAACTCCATGCAATATAATATGTCATAAAATATATATTTGGAAGAAATAATTACGTAAAGAATCACTTTGATACGTTTCAGTTACCAAAAAGCCTGAACATGCAGTGGTATCTCTTGTTGGGAGAAATTTCAAGGAGCTTGACCTACAACCTCATGCAAGTTCAAATTATTCGGGCTCTCGATTCTTGATCGAAGTTCCCGGAAACTTCTTTTCTGTTTGCACAAGAATCTTATCATTCCTTCATTATATCAAATTGATCTCTGGTAGATTGATGATTTTGGTTATTAATATTCTTCCACAACGTTATTATACCGACATCGACACAGACGACCAACGTAGCGAATAATAACATTAATACAACATTAATAATGTTGTGTTGTAAGGTGCTTTAATTATATAAACCTACAAGGCTACAACAACACTGAACAACGTTCATTGATTTTATTTTTTAAATGACCGAATACCCGCACAACTGGCACATAATTATACGATATTTTGTAAAACGATGCACAACGTGCACGTATAAACACAGACGAGGTACAATATAGCAAGCATTGAAATATACGATCGAGTTCCGGTTTCGTACTCGTCTCGTTTCAACTATACAAGATTTGGAACACGATTTATGATCAATATTACGCTCACAGTACCTTCCCAGTTTTCATTCTTGGGTGACGGAATGCTGAATGGAGGAATGTCCAAAGGGTGATTGTGAATAACTCTATCTGCAAAGAAAAATCACCTACTATTAATAGGAATATCATTATTCCGGGTAATCGTAGCATTTTCTGAGAAAGCTCGTTCTCATGGCGTCCTATATTTATCCACAACAGCTGTCCAAAGCAAAGGCACAAGAATACTGTATCACTGCTGATAGACTTTATGGTATACATGCATACAATACATCAGCACAATTTGCACATTGTCACAGTCAGAGGCATACAAGTCGTCGAAATGCATGCAGAGCATGAACTTTGCCATACAAAGAATTACGTCGTTCACCCAACAGCTTTGAGTTCGCAATAACATTGTTGATTTTCCATTAACTCACGTATTTCGTATATGAACAGGGGCCGGTGGTTCAAGGCTGGATAACACTATCCATGCACTGGATAGTAATTTTTTCAACCGTTTAAAAATGCTCGAAAAGCGATAAATTTAATATATGGAACCAAAATAATTAGAGGATTCTCCATTTGGGAATACTAAGATTTAATGAAAGTTACAGCAAACCACGGGCGATTTTAAAGCGTTTGAAAAAATCGCTATTCGGCTTTCACACAACCGGCCCCAGATGTAATTGAAACTCGTTCTTTAACATTGTCGACTGAATACGTGTAGGTTACCTACAGCTTATATTTATTAGGCCAAACACTGTTTGACATTTCCTATTTAATGTTCGACGTTAATATTCTCAAGATCGAAAATTAAAGGCCACAGTCGGAAAGTCGAAATCAACGAAGTACTCACCAAAGGTAAAGGTTGTTTTAAACGATTTCATTCTTGCAGAGCGAGCGAGGTTGAGTAATTCGGATTGTAAAATGCCTTGAGGTATATACAAACTCTCTTGAATTGCTTATATTCTTTCTCGAGTAGCAACATGACGCACTCACAAAGATATACAGTTATTAAATATGCAGTCACGTGACTTTCCCACGCATTTGTGAAAAAAACACTTGGGGCCGGTTGTTTGAAAGGTGGATAAAGTTATCCACTGGGTATCAACAGCCATTTAATCTACTAAATTTATAATCGTTAAAAAGTATTTTAACATCAAAATTGTTAAGTTCAATCTTGGCCACGCCAAGTGGTGAGGATTTTTTAATTAATTCAAATCGCTAAATCGATTTAAGCTGAGAACGGCCATAGTAAGTCCTGAAGCGAGATTGGACATGAAGGCCGGCGGGATTTTGGTTACGTAGAATTACAGATTGTACAGTGGAATATTTTTAGTGGAAAATTATGGTATTAAGCACTCCCTAATATTCCGTATAAACGAAACGTCATTTTAATGTAGTCCAAAAATGTAATTTTCAAGCAATAACTTAGCATCAAATGTGGCATGACAAGTTCCTAAAATAGACAAAACACTTCTCGACGTATCGACCTGAGGGCCTTCGTCAGGAGAGTTAGTAGAAGAGTCATACCAACTCTCCTGACGAAGGCCCTCAGATCAAAACGTCGAGAAGTGCTTTGTCTATTTTAGGCAGTTGTTATACCACTTTCATGTTAAGTTGTTCGAAGACGCTGCCACGTTGCTCTCTGGTTATATTTTAACGTTTCAAGCAATAATCTTGCTTGCGAGCAGAACAGAAAAAATGTACGACCGTCTAAAAGCAGAGATTCAAATTAACGTTATAGTTTATTTTATCGATTTTCTATTTCATAAATCTTACAAGGCTATTGAAAATTTGTCCTTGCATATATATCTATATCATATATATTAACTCATTGTTCTAACTATTCCGCTACGTAATTACTTTCGCTACGTAATTACTACGTAATGAACTTGTTCGTTATTTTCAACGTACAACAATACATTGGTCATTTACAGGATAAACAAATCTAAATGTTTCAAATCCACACAACAATTCACCTTCATAACCCTTCGATCGTTTGTCTTCATATTTCACTTTGAGGGTCATTGAAGGGTCTCGTTAACAACCATTTGTCAACAGTTGTTGTCAAGCAGCTGCATAAAACATTAAGTGTCATTTTCGAATGTTTCGGTTATATCCTCAAGGATACACAGCAGTAGTAATGGACGTCTCTTCTGCTCCGCACGCTCATCCACAGCACTCGCGATGTCTTGCTCAGGTTTAAACTTACTTTGGAGGAAACAATCGCAACTCTACTGAATAGTCACATATTGGCAATATCATGGTAAAAAACAAAGAACGGAAGAATATGAAACGACAGAGAAGAAAGAATTGATATTAAATGTTCACACAAAACTGCAACACACATTTGATTAAAAAACAAGCACTGACATAATTCAACATACACTGGAATGTTTTGACATGCGACACTACATTACTGACATATGAAGACATATTAATGACATATATTTAGCTAGGAGAAAGCTCTGAAAAGATAATATTCACATAGTAGAAAGGAATGTCTGATATACGCTAACAAGATAATCATCATGATGCAGCTGCCTTACAACGTACAGGAAAGCTTCCCGACGTTACGATTTAAGGGACTTCGTTAGGTCTGATGCATAATATACCCTCACTTCAGCTATTTCCAGCCTCGTTAGTTTTATCACCAGCAAAATGAGAGGGAAAAGGCTGTTGATAATAATTTTGGCACCTGAGAAATGATGCAAACACCAGCTGGTGTTAGATTTAGGTTAGATTACCACCAACTGAAGTTAAAAAAATTACTTGAAAATGCTTAACATTTGCAAGCCTTACTTTTACCAAATGGACGTCTGCTGGTATTAATCCTCAACACAAATATTTAAAATTATGACATACATTAAACAAAATACATATTAGCGTAGCACTTCTTTCCCAACTAATGCTATTCTTTGAGACTTTATAACATCACAGTTAATAGAATATACATGGTTTGGAGACCACATAAAACTACTATGCAACTCATCAACTATGTTGAGGTACATTTATGCGAAAAATTGTACCTTTCTCATCACATGTCTATTCTCTATATTGCAAAGATAAACCAATAGCAATCTTTTAATTAACATATTTTTCAAGTCAAGGTTGGGGAGCTTAGCAAGACGAACGCCATTGGTGAGTTTGGCGAAAATACAATAACTTTTCCATAGTCATTGCGAATATGACTATATATTATATAATATGAATTAATATAAATCTATTGTTTCATAACAACATTATAGATTGAGAATCGATGTATTATGGCGTCGCTACCTGATGTGCTTGGTGACAAGAAGACCCAGGAAAATAAAGTTGGGGAGCTTTTTTGTGAGATTGTTTATGTAAGTTTATTTGTGATTATCTTGCTGTCACATTAAGTTGTGTACAGAATGTCTTTAATACTGTAAAGCCTATAATTATAATTTATAATTACTTGGTATGCGGGTTTAAAAGCAGACGTCGCTATTTCCAGTGGCTCGATAGGAAAAAAATTATTTTCAATGTTCAACCCTAAAACTCTCATATACAATTAGTTTTTTTGAAGAATAAAACGATTTACGTTTATTCTGAGGGATTTTATAATGTACACGATAACATTTTGAATCTGTTACCATGGCAACGTGATTTGGGCTTTGAAAAAACACCATATAAAACCTCTGTGTGCACCATTCTAGTATTTGTTTCGCCAGAGAGCATGTTTCTATATAAAGGTCTAATATCTAGCTTGAATTTTATTGCTTAGCTACAAAGCCAAAGCGTGTCAAAAGCACAATTGATGTTTTACATTCGGAATCTTTGTTGAAAATGCCTCTTAAAAGAAAATTTGTACGAATGAAAGGAAAGAAACGAAAGTTTCATGAAAATCGGTTTATAAAGTTTCTGAGGAAAACAAAGTAGAAGAAAATGCGCACAACACAAGTTCTTTGAGCGAAGGTGACACGGCATCAACAAGTGTTAGTACAGAGAAATTTAGGTCGCTACCTGCCTCAAAAAGGAAACTTCAGCACGAATCATCGAGCGAGAATGAAGATAAATGTGATGATGGATTCAGACTAATAGATATTGCCATTTTGATGTCTGTTTTCGAAGCCTTCATTTGCCCCAAATTTAAATGTGGTCACATTGTCTTGAGGAAAAACATGAATGCCAAAATGGGCCTTGCTTTACAGCTCTCATTGTAATGTTCTGCCCTGATGTGTACATACTCTTTGAATTTCTATACATCAAGTCGAGTGAACAATACTTCCAAAGCTTTTGAAGTAAATCGAAGGATAGTGTTGACTATGAGGAATATTGGAGTTGGCCACTAAAGACTGGTAAAATTTTGTGGTGTGATGAACAGTTTGTCACCTATGAATGCAAATGCATACAGTGAACATGTGAAAGCTATCCATGGGGCTGCTGAAGTTGTCGCCAAGGCGAGTATGAAGAGTGCAGCTGAGGGAGTAAAACACTTTTATGAGGCTAAAGATGATGGTGTGTATGACATTGGCATTTCTGCTGATGGAACCTGGAGACGAAGAGGATACTTCATCCTCATACGGAGTTGTTAGCAGTATTTCGTTTATTACAGGCAAAGTGTTGGATGTTGAGGTGATGTTTAAAGAATGCAGAGAGTGTATTGGTTGGAGTGGTAAAGAAAAGACTGAGGAATTTGAGCATTGGTGGGAAGGGCATCAACACAAATGCTCCGCAAACTTTGAGGGCTCGTCAGGTGCAATGGATGCTGCTGGGTGTGTAAGGATTTCTGGGAGGTCAGTTGAACAATATGGCATGCGATACATGGAGTTTCTTGGGGGATGGAGACAGTAAAGCATATTGTGAACTTACAGAAGCTTCTGTTTATGGGCAGAAAGAAATTGCCAAACTTGAATCTGCAGATAGTCCTACAGGAGAAAAAAGTTGGTGTGGCTATCAGAGAGCTTTGGGCAAGAATGATCCATCAGAATATGTACATAGTCATCCTCTACCAGAAGCAGTTTCAGATTCTCCAATTATATTTTCCAACTATCATCTCACAATCCCTATGCTTAACTAATTTCGCTTAACCGAGGCGAGGGGTTGCTGCATGCATGTATTTCTAGTATAATTTTCAGCTTTCTATATGCCGTTTATTTGTTAAATTTTCAGCTTTGTATAATTTTCGGCTTTTTATACAAACGCATAAACCTGTGAAAGGCTATCACACCTTTGCTTTAACGTCAAAAAGTTTTTTTGAAAGTTTAATTTGAATTTTGATATAAAAATACACACTATATTAAAGTATAAAACTTTTATCCGTCGACTGAAATTACAGAATAAAATAACATTTGAAGGAATTGAACAGGGTTTTTTTCTTTGACTCTGAAGATTTTGTACTGTTTTAATCGTTTGAAACTTCGATTTTAAACCATTACTTAATTGCTGCTATGGTATAAAGTATAATGCAGCAAAATTGAATGCGCAATGTTTACACTAGCTTTATGACTATTTTTTTATTGAATATACTCGGTAATATATAAGAAAACTTATTGAAATTTTTTGTCATTTCATAGCATAAGTTTAGGTCAGGTTAGCTCATGGAAATTGTGTACTTGGTTTGAAATAGCGAGGGATTGCTGCATGCATGTATTTCTAGTATAAATATTAAAACATTCAATGATAACGATATTTGCAAGGCCACTGGTACACCATCTTCAAGTACGAGTACGAGTAATCAAGAGTGCGAAAGATTAACGATGATGACTTGAAACTTTAGATATAAGTTGAAACTACATGAAACTGGAGATATAAACACCTTGCGGAGGCCTAAAAAGAGCATGCAACGTCCGACCAACGAGGAAAGTATCTATGTTATTGTTGAAAAACATATTTTACTCCAGACCGAAATTGAAAAGATAGCTGAGGCAGTTGTTGCCTTCCTGGCTTCTTTCTATTTATTGGATTTCGATTATCCAAAGCAGCATGAAATAGAATTGG